TTCCCACAGCTCCCAACACTAAAGTAACAACACAAATGGAGCAGCAACAGAATTGTCTTCATTATCCTAGACATCTTGGTAAAGGCAAGCACTTCCTGTCCCAGTATTTGGCTTGCTGTAATTATTACTGATGCTTACTAGTATTTATTTAATGTGAACCAATATGTTAAAGTATAACTTTCATTGATCAATGTCCTAGTTAATTTTCTCATTGCTGAGGCAACACATAAAACCCAAAGTTAAAAGGGGGAAATATTTCTATACCTCACGGGTTGTAGAAATTTCAGTCCATAATCATCTGGCTCAGAGGCATGCTGGCTTCACAGAGGGACACTGCAGAGAAAATAAAAAAGCACTGTGTGATAGGTAGAAGACAGCAAAAGCGAGGCAGCGTTTGACCTTCACAGCATCTTTCTGTCCCTTTTATCTTATTCAGGCTACTCAGGGCAGGAAGCACTCACATCCATAATCCTGGTGCCCTAGAGCCTCACATTGCACCAAGAATCAATCCCAGTATCACACGCTCTCAATCTCACCCCCTGTGAGAAAGCTCAACCTGTGACCACATGAAGTTTTGTGGGGAAATCAAGACACAATCCATAATATTCACTAGACTCACTAAATGATTAATCAGGGCAAAAGACTGAGAGAGCAAGCAAAAAATAAACAAAGTTAGGGGCATCATGTTTGTGGATATCTCTTTTCTGATTAAAGGGCTTCACTTGGTGAGCTTTAGGTTACCTGTTTCTTTGAGTTACCTGTGTTATACAACAGATTAATATCCATTCCAGAAATAGTAGAAATGAAGTGAGTTGTGTCTAGAGCGACTTTTAAACACTTGATACAACTTAGAGATAAGAGGGAACTGTAAGGAATTTCGTGTGTACTGTGATTCAATGTACAATTTCAATAAATTTGATTTGTCAAAATATTTATGAAATGTAACTGATATACATATAATTATTCAAAATAAAGTGTATAAAATACTGTCTCACAATGAAGATAGAGAAATCTGTAATGATAATGGCAATCCATTTTTGAAGTGCTTGATTTCTCCATTATGAAATTCTAGATCATGATGACCAGGGGAACATGGCTGGCAGGAATTGTGTGCTCTACTGTACTACACAACAAATGAACAAAACCAGA